TCGCCACCCTATTTCAACCCATTCCATGAGCCATCGTTGGGATACAAACACACTTTGACTAGATCTGTTGGTCGCCGTTCTCCTTTTGAACGACCCTCAAAGTCAGAGTGAAATCTGAAAAATATCTGACTCATTGAGGTTTTCAATCGCTATCGGTATCCAGCAACAACCATTTCTTCTTGAGCATGGTCATCTCTATAACCACCGTTGAGTTACTTTTAGACCATAGATCAATCCTGCATGGCGAAATTAAACAGACTTCGAAACACGGCGTGACCGTGCTTTTCTTGTTAGAAATGACTAAAAGTACGTATCCAAGGGATCCGCCGAAATTGGAATGCGAACAAAAGTAGTCGTTAAAAGACTCACGTAATATTCCCTCAGGCTATTTGTTAATTAACGTTACGGCTTCGCGGTGGTTTAGTAGAAGTCACAGGCGCGCTTAGGACTATATGATCTGAGGTTCGAGCCCAGCCAGCGCCAACTTTGATGGTAGGCAGCTTTGCTGTCTTCCTGTCCAGTACCACACCTAACCGACCGGGGCCCTTATGTGATTCACCACTCCAAGTCCTGGGGCTTAGGTTACCGGTTTCAATCACTGGATAGTAGGTCCTCATGACTATGGGGTTTTCCCCGTCTGTTGTTCATCACAAGTGTGTAATAATGAAAAATTGCAGGTATACGATGATCTTTGGACGAACCAACTTACTGCTTCATACAAAACCCCTCAGCAAAGCTCACCTTGGATAAGGCAGCTTTTTGTCATGCAACATCGTAATCTTTAGTTTCCTTTTGCGGCTTCCATAAGTACGTTATACAACGAACCAAGCTTTGCTACCGAGCCTTGTCCTGTTCTGGTATTTTGCGTTTTACTATAACATTGGATACGAGTCTTATATTAAACAGTTTGTGTGATGAATAGGCAGGATGAACCCTGTAGTCGCGTAGACCTGCTATTCAGTGATGAAGAGCGGCCACCTACGACCCGGGGCGTGGAGTTGCGAACCACTTAAAACCACATTGGGTATTTGTTGTGATTCGTGAGATCTTCAGGAAATCAAATGAACGCACCAGGAAAATATATTCCTTCCAGAAAGTGCCCCCAGATTCTCCAACGGTTGAAAAAAGACCTCGTTATCACCCCCAAGCTTGATTCTCGCGCGCGCAGTTGATGTGCTTCAGTTCAGCTCAGTTCTTACGACCGTGAACCATGCACTGGTTTTGGTTGCCCTTTTGGATAAAACAGCAGAATGAAGATTAGAATGTTGGGAGCAAATTCAAATAGCGATACACACTGATGTTACAAGGATAATGAGTACATGCATGAGCGCCACTGTTTGCTACACCCAGCCATAACGGTCGGTGTCTCTAACCATCGGTGACCATCATCTTGAGAACCCCATCCAGGGTGCCTAACAGGACCTGTGACCCAGTCTTCTGGTTTGGTTTTTCATATCTCACCTGTTTTAGTTTGACCGCCTTTGATCTTTTTCTAACCGCTACCTGCCTCGACAAACATCGCTCGCCGTAGCAACCTACCTGGTGACGTGCGTAGCACATGTCCCAAACAATGTAATCTATGGAAGTCGATCACTTGCTCTAGTGGACGACAGTGAATACCTAAAACTACGTCTAATCTCAGCATTGCTCGTCCAGTTTCCTCACCAGACTCGTGCAATGCGATGTAGATAGCGGTGTTCGAACACAATCTATTCTTATCACGTCTACGTCTCAGAACCGTAAAGCAGCATATACTCGACCTAAGGTGTAATTTTAGCGGAGTATTAAAGTGATGCTCGTTAAATCAATATATGAATTTGACAAGGTGCCCCTTTTTCGTAGTACATCGTTGAAGGGAAGGACTATTATCAGCTATCGAGAACCCCTTCGTTGTTAAAAGAAAATGGAATAATTTATTTCGGGGATTTCTCATCTTCAGAATAATCATTTCGGATGAAACTTGATCTATGCCCTTGCGATTAGCTTTTTCTCTTTTTGACACAGCATAGTCTGCGCTACATCTAAAGCATTAAGTAAAGTATACGTTGGAAAACGAGAATAGCTGAATAACCGCGGTGTTCAACAGATCGACAAAAACGCGTTACTTAGGCTTCTGAATTTTACGACTGAGAACCTTAGGCATCTCGTTGCACCTCATTGTGAACACAGCACTTCGAGAAAACGAGATTTTTTGTAAGACGAGAGATCAGTAATACAATTAAAACAGGTCACATAACAGGACCACCATCATCCAGAAAGAAATTGCGAAAAAAGAGACCAGATACGGGACTGTCAATTGTTTGGTGTGGGCACTGTGAGAAGTGGGTGAAAGTGAGACAGGGTATAGGACCAACAATAAAGGAAAGTGCAACGAAGCCTGTACAATCAATATGTGATCATAAAGAGAAAAATAACAAAGGGAGAGGGCACAAGTACACGATCCATCGTTTCCAAATGAATCAAATTGCTAGAAAAAAAGCAAAAACACTGAGGGGAAGATTCTTAGTTTAGTGAACTGAGCAGAGTAAGAAACTGTCACGTTGAGAACCGATGAAACCTGCGAAAAATACAGCGGTTAGTCCGGAAAAGAAATGGGAAAGAAAAAGAGTGGTATTCTCGCCCAGAAGCTTTATTAGTCTAGGATGGGGGATTGCATGCAGATAAGGTGCATGGTAGAGAGAAAGGTTCTGTGGGAAAAGAAGATCACGCTGGGAGGAAAATGGACATCAGTGTCCGAGATGGGAGTAATCATCGCCAAAACAAGGAGTAACGAAAGGCGCCAAAATCCAGGCCGAGATTGCGAGACAACAAGTTACATCAGGTATTGTTCAATCCGTATGCTAGTAAACCACATCACAAAAATCCGTCATTTAGGAAACGACGGCCGTTGTTTTATGCAGATTGAATGCTGTACAAGTGAGGCGGTTTGGGTACGCATTTGATGGGAATGAGTAGAACTGGAAGGTGGTCCAGGTGGAAACCGAGTCATTGTGCACGAATCGGTGGACGAGCGAGCGCACGTATACACACGTAAGTCACAGGCATGAATTATGGCATAAATTGATTCACAATCATGATGTGATGGTGATAATTGAGAAATGGTTAGGAGGCGGTGTGGCAAAGACCTATACATGCACGCGCGCACGCATAAAGTGGTGCATCAAAAATGACCAGTCATCAGATATGGGTACGTCGGGATTGTGACAAAAAATTAGGAGTACGGGATAGGAGGAATACACATATCACAATAAGTTGGCCCAACAATGTGGTAGCCATGACCACGCTCAGGTCAACGATCAATCACGTAGATCAGACACTGATCGCCGGAAGTGATGGTCACTTAGGGGTATCAACAAAGGACACCTTGAAAATGCTCACATACAACCGTCGAAATCTATCTGAAGTTGACTGGCTACAGATTTCTCGACTTCATCTTCCTCGTCCTCGGAAAACGTAGGCATGTGAGTGACAAAATCGCCCAATCCGGACACATCTAATTGCGGCAACGGGGTCCATAAAGGTAGACCACCAAGTGCCGAGAGATCCATTGGCTCATCTACCGGATCGCTTGGTAATGGCAGCTCAACTTCAGGATGATGTGGGTGATCAATCACAGCAGCAGCCGTCGGACCGGGTTCGGGTAGGCACAATGTGACACTGGGGTCAATTAAATCGGTGGCGGTGGAATTTGTGGGTAAAGAGTGGACAGAAGGAGGTGCATGCTGCACTGAAACTGGAGGATCGAGTGTAGAGCATGGATGCAACCCGGACCATTGGCTATCCGTGCTAGCTGGAGCGGAAGCGTGACTGGGTGGGTTTGAAAGCGTTTTAAGTGGAGACAAGTCAGTTAAATGGGAATCCACACTGCCCGCTGTTCCGGGTTGAGAGTCAAAGCAATACCGCTTGGCTAACCGCACGGCATCTGCATAACCCTTTACACGGGTACGTGGATTATATAGTTTGTCATAAGTATCCTTGAATGGATACAACTTTGCACAACTCAAATAAGAACACTGATCCCAGGCTAGCCAGTCTACACGAGCTGTGTATCCTGCAGCTAATGTTGGATCGGCAGGAGTAGCCAGCACAGAAAGAGACGGCGAACCGGTGCTGTCATTTGGTTGTGCGTTTGGTACAGGAGTTGCCTGAGAAAGTTGATGCACGGTTCGTGCCCAAATAGCGCTGACCCGCGACGGCCAATAAGGATAACCCGCTAGTTTGGCCCATACAATATCACCAACACGTATACTGCCGGACGTCAAGGCGAAAGAAGGCGACGATGACGTGGAAACAGTGGCCGAGGCACGCTGGGAAAATTCTCCACCAGGAGCATCTGTATCACACCATGACTCGACAATACGAAAAGTTCCAGTAGATTCGGCCTTGTTTCGTGCACGTTTTGAACGACTCGGAGTAACATCTAGGGGTGCCGAATCACGACGAAGACGTATTTTTAGACCACCAGGAACAAGGGGCGATTGGCTAGGGAGACTCTTTGATGGTCGTAACTTACGCCGACGTATTACTGCCACACATGATTTGGATGGTACATTCTGATGATCTGTTGAATGTGAAGATCCAGGTTGGGAAAGTGAACACAAAGACAGAGTGAGTGTGAGACGACCATGATTTGACTGACTGCGCTTATTCGTTCCGACGGAGTTGCGCCGACGTACTTCTATCTGTCGTTTCTGACTTGGTTGTTTTACAGTAACCGAGCCTTCAGAAACAGTCTCACTCACATTGACCCCAGAAGCCGATGACAGTGCTTGATCGGTTTTCGATTTGCCTATGTTGGATTTTCGACGTCCTGTTGTCGGGTTCGGATTGCGTTTTGGAACAACGCCATGAAAGTCTGTTGTATTGACAGATATAGGGTCAGATTCATTAACTTCAGTCGTTTTGTCATTTACTGGATCCTCTGTAGAACCATCTATGGCAGTGTGTTTAGTTAACTGCATTTCGGCCAAACTGGGACTCGTGCAGGAACTTGCGCTTCCAGTCGTGCTGAATCCATGTCCGGAATTCGGTGGTGTGTGACTATACAGACTACTGCTTGTATTGGTGAGAGAAGAAGATAGGGCGACTGATAAACCTTGACCGCTGCTCACTGTAGATGGTGAACCAGACACGAAGGCTGAATGACCAGGGGAGGTGGTGAACGAGGCGATACCTATTGCCGAAACTGGTTGGAACGGCANGCAACTGACAGCAGTGAATTCCACCGGAGTGTGACCTGCAGCTGACAAATCGTTTGGTTTCGGGTTTTCGGTTAGAGCTTGATCTTTAGCCATCCACATATGCTTGGGCTTTTGATAGCCGAGCGAACGGGCGGTTGCCGGATCTTCAATATCCTGGAATTCATACACGTTACAGGGGAAGAGTCCGTTGTACTCGATCTCGGTTTTTTCGTGTTGAGAGAGTTCGGAGACCAGAGTTGCATTGGACAACTGAGGTGACGCTTTCATGAAAAAGGAAGCATCTGAAAAAGTAATAAAATACAATTAGTCCAAGATTATAAAAGACACATGCAAAAGTGAACGACAAGCAATCCATAAATTCGAATGCATGCTAAGCATAACAAAAAGCAGGATGATAGATATACATAGTAGAATATGTATAGCTGAATGAAATTTCCATGGGAGCACAACCGGTTTCGCGGTTCTTGCCGCTCGTCAAGCACGCGTTTCAGGTATTCGTTGACAAGAGACAACAGGTTATTCAATCTGGTCTATGCTAGAAGAATTGTACTGCTAAGTGCAGATTCAGATAATATGAAAACTTTTCTGAATAGCTGGTGCTAGAGTTGCTATTTTGCCATGCATTTTGCATCCTCAAAATGTAAAATGTTGCTACAGCAATCGGCTGATCCAGGTCGCAAAGTCAATTTCGCAGGAGAAGCAATGAACGAAGAACAGATTTTGCTAGCTGGGAAGCGACATCTAACCTGGTGGACGCAAAATGCATGAAGTGTCGGCACGCACACATTAGACATAGTTGGCATTCGCCAACTTGAGACATCTCTGACGCCGTTCCCACATCCAGATATCTGTGAAAGGTCCAGTGCATGCTACTGCAAATTGCCAGTGTTACTTTACGATATAGATACTCGGTCGTTACGAGAACAAGATAAAAATGGATTGCCGGTGGTCCAACAGCGCTGTCAATACCACACTACATGAGCCCGGTGAGGGAACCAAACAACGCGGCAGACCAATGGATCCCAAAAACCGATAGGATGCGTGAGTCGCGAAGTGTTTTTTTTTATTATTGCACACCTAGGTGTGATGAGCAGCAGACGGGGTACACCCCAGAGTCACGAGAACCTGCTGTTCAGTGGTTGAAATCGGCAACCTAAGCCCCGGAACTTGGAGTGGCGAACCACATAAGGCCCCGATGGGTTAGGCGTGGTATTGAACCGGACGACAGTAGAGCTGCCTACCACCAAAGTCCGGTGGCGGGGCTCGAACCTCGGACCATAGGTTCCAAAGCACGCCAGTGACAGCGACTAAACCACTGCGCCACCACCAGTTGCGTGTCATCAAATAGAATGCACGACACGAGGTGTTTCCCGAGATAGGAAGTTCTTTCCTCAGGTTAACTGACCGATAACCGAGGACTTCCAACGTCCTGTATCATGTGGGACAGCTCATCACTGATCTCAGATACAAAAACCAAATTAATTAAAGTCGCGAATTCTACCCACTGGTTCTCACGGTCGTTATCGCAACTTATTGCGAGTTGACGTTGCGAATGTCAGCTGCTTTTCTGTCGATTCCAGATGATTAGGATTTTGGCCTAACGGTACTCCTCATTTCCAAGAGATTTAACGTCTTAGACAGACTTCGGTTGCTGCTTTGTTTTGGATTCAGTGTAATTCTGCCGGATTGAATGATGAAGTCTTCTTCAACCAGAACGATTTAATGCAGAATCTTATCCTCCTGGCGCACAAGCACGGATAATGACGACTCGGTTTGTGATGGAAAGTTTGCAAACTAAATGCCAGACTCGGCGAACAGAAAAAAAATGGGAATATGATCAAAAAACATTCTACATTACTAGTAATTACTGATCGCTACCAAACTGGTAATGCATAAAGTTTCAGTGGTATTTTATCGTACAAAGCATCCTTTGTCTTTCAGGACTGTAACTGATCGGTGTATACGCTGAAAATATAGACGAGCACATTTTTGTATTGCTTCCCTTCCGGACCCTGATAGACCCTCGGAGCGACTGTTCACGGGGATCCAATAGATCAGAGAGCACTCAGCCGTGTCACTGAGTACAATACAAACAAGCTTGTTTACCGACCTGTATCAAAGTCCCAAAGTTGAAGGGCCCCAAATTCATAGATTGACGAGGCTTCAGGATCTGCAATTCACTTCGTGGTACACTACTCACAGTGTTATTTGGCAACGACTTCTGGGGCGCGACATTCAAGTCGGTTGAGGGACTATTACAGGTTGGAAAGAAGGGCAAATGGTGAGGGCTGGGTGCTGAAGACAAAGAATTAAACAAAGGTTGGGATATCGGAGCAGCAGTCCACTTATCACTAACCATCGCGCTCGATACAATGGGCAGCGCGGTTCTGATTTTGCTGCGCGATGACCGATGCAGTACGAAATTATTTTTAGTTTGTGTAGACGCTGGGGTTTGATGGGCCGGTATCAC